TCTAGGTGCTATATTCATTTATGTGAGTGAGTGCATGAGTCAGTCTAGGTGCTATATTCATTTATGTGAGTGAGTGCATGAGTCAGTCTAGGTGCTATATTCATTTATGTGAGTGAGTGCATGAGTCAGTCTAGGTGCTATATTCATTTATGTGAGTGAGTGCATGAGTCAGTCTAGGTGCTATATTCATTTATGTGAGTGAGTGCGTGAGTCAGTCTAGGTGCTATATTCATTTATGTGAGTGAGTGCGTGAGTCAGTCTAGGTGCTATATTCATTTATGTGAGTGAGTGCATGAGTCAGTCTAGGTGCTATATTCATTTATGTGAGTGAGTGCATGAGTCAGTCTAGGTGCTATATTCATTTATGTGAGTGAGTGCATGAGTCAGTCTTGGTGCTATATTCATTTATGTTAGTGAGTGCATGAGTCAGTCTAGGTGCTATATTCATTTATGTGAGTGAGTGCATGAGTCAGTCTAGGTGCTATATTCATTTATGTGAGTGAGTGCATGAGTCAGTCTAGGTGCTATATTCATTTATGTTAGTGAGTGCATGAGTCAGTCTAGGTGCTATATTCATTTATGTGAGTGAGTGCATGAGTCAGTCTAGGTGCTATATTCATTTATGTGAGTGAGTGCATGAGTCAGTCTAGGTGCTATATTCATTTATGTGAGTGAGTGCATGAGTCAGTCTAGGTGCTATATTCATTTATTAGTGAGTGCATGAGTCAGTCTAGGTGCTATATTCAGTTTAGGTGCTATATTCATTTATGTTAGTGAGTGCATGAGTCAGTCTAGGTGCTATATTCATTTATGTTAGTGAGTGCATGAGTCAGTCTAGGTGCTATATTCATTTATGTTAGTGAGTGCATGAGTCAGTCTGGTGCTATATTCATTTATGTGAGTGAGTGCATGAGTCAGTCTAGGGAAGCTATTCATTTATGTTAGTGAGTGCATGAGTCAGTCTAGGTGCTATATTCATTTATGTGATTGAGTGCATGAGTTAGTCTAGGTGCTATATTTATGTGAGTGAGTGCGTGAGTCAGTCTAGGTGCTATATTCATTTATGTGAGTGAGTGCATGAGTCAGTCTAGGTGCTATATTCATTTATGTGAGTGAGTGCGTGAGTCAGTCTAGGTGCTATATTCATTTATGTGAGGAGTGCATGAGTCAGAGGTGCTATATTCATTTATGGAGTGAGTGCATGAGTCAGTCTAGGTGCTATATTCATTTATGTGAGTGAGTGCATGAGTCAGTCTAGGTGCTATATTCATTTATGTGAGTGAGTGCATGAGTCAGTCTAGGTGCTATATTCATTTATGTTAGTGAGTGCATGAGTCAGTCTAGGTGCTATATTCATTTATGTTAGTGAGTGCATGAGTCAGTCTAGGTGCTATATTCATTTATGTTAGTGAGTGCATGAGTCAGTCTAGGTGCTATATTCATTTATGTGAGTGAGTGCATGAGTCAGTCTAGGTGCTATATTCATTTATGTGAGTGAGTGCATGAGTCAGTCTAGGTGCTATATTCATTTATGTTAGTGAGTGCGTGAGTCAGTCTAGGTGCTATATTCATTTATGTTAGTGAGTGCATGAGTCAGTCTAGGTGCTATATTCATTTATGTTAGTGAGTGCATGAGTCAGTCTAGGTGCTATATTCATTTATGTGAGTGAGTGCATGAGTCAGTCTAGGTGCTATATTCATTTATGTGAGTGAGTGCATGAGTTAGTCTAGGTGCTATATTCATTTATGTTAGTGAGTGCATGAGTCAGTCTAGGTGCTATATTCATTTATGTTAGTGAGTGCGTGAGTCAGTCTAGGTGCTATATTCATTTATGTGAGTGAGTGCATGAGTCAGTCTAGGTGCTATATTCATTTATGTGAGTGAGTGCGTGAGTCAGTCTAGGTGCTATATCATTTATGTGAGTGAGTGCATGAGTCAGTCTAGGTGCTATATTCATTTATGTGAGTGACTGCGTGAGTCAGTCTAGGTGCTATATTCATTTATGTTAGTGAGTGCATGAGTTAGTCTAGGTGCTATATTCATTTATGTTAGTGAGTGCATGAGTCAGTCTAGGTGCTATATTCATTTATGTTAGTGAGTGCATGAGTCAGTCTAGGTGCTATATCATTTATGTGAGTGAGTGCATGAGTCAGTCTAGGTGCTATATTCATTTATGTGAGTGAGTGGTGAGTCAGTCTAGGTGCTATATTCATTTATGTGAGTGAGTGTGAGTCAGTCTAGGTGCTATATTCATTTATGTGAGTGAGTGCATGAGTCAGTCTAGGTGCTATATTCATTTATGTGAGTGAGTGCATGAGTCAGTCTAGGTGCTATATTCATTTATGTTAGTGAGTGCATGAGTCAGTCTAGGTGCTATATTCATTTATGTGAGTGAGTGCATGAGTCAGTCTAGGTGCTATATTCATTTATGTTAGTGAGTGCATGAGTCAGTCTAGGTGCTATATTCATTTATGTGAGTGAGTGCATGAGTCAGTCTAGGTGCTATATTCATTTATGTGAGTGAGTGCATGAGTCAGTCTAGGTGCTATATTCATTTATGTTAGTGAGTGCATGAGTCAGTCTAGGTGCTATATTCATTTATGTGAGTGAGTGCATGAGTCAGTCTAGGTGCTATATTCATTTATGTGAGTGAGTGCATGAGTTAGTCTTCAGTTTTCATCCTCTACACTCTACAGTGACTCTCAGCTAGGCATTAACTCTGACAATTCAAGTAAATTTTGAGTGTACTGTCAGCTTGTGTCACACTCAAGTAATTTGCCATTAAGTGACCGTCTTGTGCCTTCATTAACTTTGCTCTCTTGTCATATCAAAAGTTAGTGACAGCTGACTGTATATTTCGTTGTTTAGTGAGTGACGATTGATTGAATGTTCCATGTTAATTATTCATATAATATATTTATCATGGAGATATTATCTCCATGATAAATATTCTGAGTGGAGTGTCCATCACCTGAAGGTACTTGTGGGTGCGGTGAACTATTTTGCCGAGAGATGTGTTTTTGTAAGTTTCCTGTACATGTGTGACTGTGTGTGTGTGTGTGTGTGTGTGTACTAGTGGGGTTATGGAACTGTGTGTACTTGTGGGGTTGTGGGACTGCGTGTGTACTTGTGGGGTTGTGGAACTGTGTGTAAATATGTATGAGGAGATGGAAGAAATTCAGTCAATGTAAAACTATTGGTGTTATTACTAAATGATTATGGTTCAGTAATTACCTTTGTGCAGAAAATATAAATAAGACAAATCGTATTGTAGGACTCATAAGGAGGACATTGTTAAGCCTGGATGAAGAAATATCTAAGTACTGCAATTATATGCAATTCTCGTAAGACCGTATCTGGAAAACACAAACCAGGTCTGGGAATCATTTAAATAAAGATATAGTAGCGCTAGAAAACATCCAGTGACGGGGAACTAAGCTTCGTGAACACAAACTTACCAAGAGAGATTAAAGAAGTTAATTTAACTAACACTCGTATAAATCAAGAGTCGATATGAATGAAACTTTCAAAATAGTGAGTGATGTGTACGGCAGTGAGGTGCATAAAGAAAAAATAAATAAATGGATAAATAAATAATGAAATTAAAGGCCAGAACATGTAGTCAAAAGCCGATTCAGTTTTGAATATATAAACTAAACGCACCTCAAGCTGCTCTGTCGCTCGTCCTGTTCTCACCCTAAGTGTGTGGTGTGTTTTAAGGAGGTAATCATTATTTTAATGAAGTTTTAGTTAAACTAACGGCGATTTTCAGCTGATGAACTGAAAGCGACCGTGACGGAAGTGAATATAAGAACCAGGTTAGGTTAGGTTAAGTTAGGTTAGGTTAAGTTTGATAAAAAGGTATTATAATGATAGTGAGGACGATGATGAGGGGAAGGTGAAGATGTTAGAGTGATGATGATGGTTCTCTGTGCTGGAGGAAGATGATAGCAGAGTGATAAGGAATTATGTGGCACCAGAACAGTTGTTAAGGTAATTGTTGGATCATTTTTTACAAGTACAGTAACACTTTGTAAGTTTTCACGGTTTGTGAATGTCAAGATGAAAATCCGAAGCCAGGTCTGTGGTTTTGAAGTCGAAGCCATGCTTCTAGTTTCAAAACTGAAGCCTGTAGAAAGTTCCGAAGCCAGGTCCAAAAATGCCTGACTTCCAGAAGCCGCAGCTAGCTGGGTTCAATATCCGGCCAGGGACAGATGTGGGAAGGGTGTTGTAACACCATCAACTAACGCATTTTTCCCCCGGCCACTACAGATTCGTCCCGCAACAACACTGGACAGTGAAAGTCCTAACAAAGTATCAAAGCTGATAATTGGCGAAACTTACAAAAATAAATAAAAAAATAGGCCGAACGCACTAACGACAAACAGCGTAAGTGATGAAATGATAAACATATATTAAAATTATAATGGACAAACGTTTCTATATTTTCAAGAGTTTGTTAATGACAAAATATTGAAAGACTTGGCTTTAATAATGACAATATAAACAGTGAGTTCCGCCAACACTTGTCTGAGATGTTACAAACTTCTTTTACTGAACGACGTGACGACGACGACCCCCAAGAAGCATGAAGAGGAAAACATCACCTGATATCAAGTGTTCTGAGGCTAAGGTCCCCCCGAGCGATGAACCGGCTTGACAGTCATCCTAAAGGTGACAATGTCTGAAGGTCAACGAATGCATGTCAGTGATACGGTGGGGATTGTCTACCACTAAGGCGGTGGGGGGTAGTCAGAGGGAGGGTACAAACTGGATTCTGGGGGTTGCTGTAGTCAGTGTGGGGGGGGGTATAGGAGAGGACCCGGCAAGTGAGGGTTATTTAGGGTGAGAAGGAATTTTAAAAGGACCTCGTAAGGCAGGATGCTATACGGTGTAGCCAGTAGTTGTTAACACAGGTGTGGGAGGTGTGGGGGTGGTTAGAGGGGAGCATTCTTCTGGGGGTTGGCAGAGGGGGGGAGAAGTTTAAAGAAGGCCGTGTTAGGCTTGGGGGAGAAAGCGTCTCAACATAACCCGAGTCGAGGAGCTGGAGACTTCACTCTTGGCGCGGACGGAGATTCAACAGGAAGGTTAGTCTCTTCTCTCTCTCAACATATTGTACACTTGATACATTTCACCAGATTCTGTGTACAAGAAAGTTTGGTGTTGTTCGTGATATAAATATTAGTGTTGGTGTATAACGTTAAATTATTTCTCAAGATGTATAAACAAGTGTTTGTGTTTGGCTACGTGAGGCTGAGGGGGATTATTATGTCTCTTAACTCTTGTCATGATATATGTTGTGAGCATTTTATCAAGTTTATATATTCATAAGATCATTAATTCTTTGGCCCTCCTCGTGTACACTGATGCAAAAGGACGCCAAGTTTGTTTTACAATTATTTTGCGATTTATACTGTAACATTTTGTTGAAAGTGACGCATCGGCCTAGCGTATATAGCACTTGCCTCCTGTTATAAGACCGTTGATTCGGTCCCTGGGCACAGTTGGGAAGGTGAAAGGCGGTCTCCTTAGTACATACTGCATATATCCATATACAGGCGGCCCGGGCCGGTATGCCTGTGTTATTCACGGGAATGATATCATACAGCTACAGAAATTAAGTGACAAGGAGTGTTCTTTATACAGTAAAGGCTCCAAATAATGGACGTCTCTCTTCACATAATCCGTTACATGGAGGTTTCACATCTAATGGACACTCGATATAACGGACTTTCCTCTCCATGTAGTCCGTTAAATAGAGGTTTCACTGTACAAATTTCGTCCTTCATTAATACTCTTATATAAGGTCCGACACTGGGCAATGTGTCCAAGATTTATTTTCATCACGAGAGAAATATGTAAGTGTAGAACTAAATGATTTATTGGTTACATGTAGATTTAAATGTACAGTACCGTATTATGTAGTAGATGTGAGTGTGTTGTGTAGTAGAGGTGAGTGTGTTGTGTAGTAGATATAAGTGTGTTGTGTATTAGAGGTGAGTGTATTGTGTATGTTGTGGAGTAGATGTGAGTGCGTTGTGTATGTTGCGATTTCCACGAAAGTCTGTACAGTATAAGGCAGTGTGTGAGTGTGTGTCTAGACCAAGGCATTGTTCTTCGACACTTCCAGCCTAAAGGGCACCTAGTGGACGACATGTTAATATAACCATTCCTAAGATACAGATTAAAGTTTTATACTTCGCCATCTAAGCTGTCAAATACCTCATCAATACGAGGGATGATGGACAGGTTCTGGAGGCTTATTATTATTCCTCAACATGCTGCGTTCCTTTCGCTCACTCACCCCCGTCACACCAGCTTACTGCTTCCCTGGATCCTCGTCTTAAAATAAACCTAATGGGCCCCAGTCTTAATGGGCCCCATTCTTAATGAGCCCCAGTCTAAATGAGCTCCAGTCTTAATGAGCCCGTCTTAATGAGCCCCAGTCTTAGTGAGCCCCAGTCTTAATGGGCCCCATTCTTAATGAGCCCCAGTCTAAATGAGCCCCAGTCTTAATGAGCCCCAGTCTTAATGGGCCCCAGTCTTAATGGGCCCCATTCTTAATGGGCCCCATTCTTAATGAGCCCCAGTCTTAATGAGCCCGTCTTAATGAGCCCCAGTCTTAATGAGCCCCAGTCTTAATGGGCCCCATTCTTAATGAGCCCCAGTCTTAATGGGCCCCATTCTTAATGAGCCCCAGTCTTAATGAGCCCCAGTCTTAATGAGCCCCAGTCTTCTAGGGCTCCAGTCTTCATGGACCCTGGTCCTAATATAACTCTAAATAAAATCAAAGCATTAACACTGATGCCCATTGCCCAGTCTTAACGGAACCACGTATTAAGAGAGACCAATCCACCCTAACCATTAGCAGCGAGACCCAACTTTAGCGGCCTCCAATATTAATGGTGAAGTTAACGTATGGTGTTTTAACATTAAAGAAAATATAATGGTTCAGTATTATTATGTTTCAGTTTTAATGGGTCATTGTACTCAAGGGGATAAGATATCTTACTCACTTGGATACTCTTTGTACTCTGGGGGTTCAATCATCGTAATCAAGGGCTTAAACAATTTACAATTAACATTTAAAATAAACTACTTTCATTTTTGTTATTATCTTCACGATTCTTTTACAAATTACAGTAGTTGACTGTACAATGACTTTGTTGACTAACCAACCAATCATCACCATCATCATTACTATTATTTGTTAGAAATGAATTTTCTACACAGTAATACTTTTAGTTTCAGATGATGGAGAGTAATGCGAGGAGTGTGATGGTGGTGGTGGTGGTGGTGGTGGTCGCCATGGTTACCTTCACCCAGGCATACGTTCCAGGACCAACCGGTAAGTTAATTCCTTGTCTTAATGTAAGTTCATCAAGTGTCTACATCAACAACATCACGAAGGATATAAACAGCAGTAATAACACCTCATAAACTGCTTGCGTGGTTTAACTATTTCATCTGCTGACACGTGAAACTGAAGTCGTGTCCCGCGGCCAGGCGGGATATTGTGCCAAAATAATCTATGCCATGTGAGTCCTGCACTAAGTTGCAATTGTCACGGTAACAGCCATACTGTTACACCATGGGTCCTTTAAGAGAAAAGTCTGACAATAATTTTATATCAGCCTTTTACAGCTAATTAATGTTGCAAGTTAAGCGACCTCGGTTATAATAATATACCCAAAGCTAACGATTATTAATTATTATTGTGTTACAGACCTTCGGTACCCGGACGATATCGTGTTTCCTAAAGTGGAGTGTGTAAATGAAGGCTCATTCATCCACCCCAGAAACTGTTCCTGGTACTATAGGTGAGTCTCAATGGTATTGCTTCCCTCAATAATGCCAACAACACCTTCACCCTCCACCGTCGCTTAACCCGTAATACCATCTCACAAGAAAACATATATCGTGCATAGACAACCTAGAGTCCTTTACGGATCGCATCTATAACGCCTGATACAGTAATAGTTCTTTAATTTATCTATTTTATGGGGCCTAACACGGTTCAATAGTTAACGAGAAATACATAAATTAATGATGGAAATCTTGAGACGCGACTATCCCTAAACTTACATTGGCATATTCGACGAGGCCTGACATTATCGTGGCCGGTTAAGCCCTCCACTACACTATGTATTTATTTATATTCATATAGGTGTTCACACTGTTATAACGATCAATTTTTCATGTTATCTGCTTCATTTAGGATGTTCTCATGCTCCTTCTTACTCTATTCAATACAGTTTCTGTTGACAACACTGAGCTGCTCTGTCAAGATACACTCTACAGTTTAAAATACTAATGGCAGTTATTAATGATTCTTCTAATATTTGTTTGCCACCAGTCTGCATTTGTCGGTTTTCACCTCAAGTGATTTTCTTTTGCAGGTGTGTAGACAGAATGCACGTTGGTCACTACCACACGTATCACTTTATGTGTGAGAGAGGCACAGTGTTCTCAGACGAGCTGGATCAATGTATTTTCCCATACCTGGTCCCGCCTCCCTGTGGTACTGCCACACAGTCTTCATCAACAACCCCAACAACAACCACCATAACAACTTCAACAACGCCAACAACCACAACAACAACGCCAACCACAACAACGCTAACAACCATAACAACGCCGACAACCACAACAACGCCAACAACCACAACGCCAACAACCACAACAACGCCAACAACCACAACAACGCCAACAACCACAACAACGCCGACAACCACAACAACGCCAACAACCACCACTACAATCACAACTCCAACAACCGGCCCGACAATAAGCATACCTTGCCTAACTAGAGATAGTGTGTGTGGCACGTACGAGGTGTGTCAGCCAGTTAGGCGCCAGCAGGAGCTATGTACTGGCTGCTTCATAGGTTCTATACCTTTCCCTGCCTCTGTCCATTGCGGCGAGGGATTTTTCCTTGACAAGTTCACCATCAAATGTGTATCAAGTGAGTACTCCAAGTCTAATTCATATATGAAGGGTGTCTCAAAACATATATACACTGACTTACTTCTGTGGCGATCCCGTGAATGTTTGTACAGTATTACAATAGAAACATTGTCCTCAATTGTTGATGTGCCGTTGTAGGAGACCTCGCACATCACGTGAGGAAACAATGGCATTGTTGTAATGAATTATACAGTATACATTTAAGTGATCGCAACGCAAATCTACAAGGCGATAAGTATACATTTTCTGAGACACCCTGTACTGTATATTCAAAGCACGCAGCAGGCTGGTTGGTATACAGTATAATGTCACTTTATGAAATATTTGTGTTCACTTCACAGTGTACATTCTCTGAACCTTCTTGTTTCAGACTCAACTCTGTGTCCAGCTAAACTTAGATCAGAAGTAATGACTAACTCCATCAACACACTGAGCTGCTCCCACTACAACACCCGCCCCCGAGAGCCCTGGATCTTTAGTCAGTTGTGTGAAGACTTTGTTCTGTGTGGAACTGATGGCAGTGACAAGGTAAGCCTCTAACATTACCCAGGCTGCCCATTCATATAAAGTGTTGTGAGGTAGAGATGACGCCGGTTACAGTTGATGGTATTAAGCTATGGCACCTCGAGACACAGCTTCATAGCCCAGGAGGTTCATGTATCACAACTTGTTCCCTCCACACATTAACTATCACCTTCAACACTGGTCATATGGCCCCGCCCCCCCTCCCGTCATCACAGGCCCAAACCAACCTAAAACTAGTTGAGATCCGTTTGTACAGTACAGGTACTGTACTAATTGTCATCAATATGAAATGTCTTCAGCCTCAGTCCAGATGATTAGATCAGGTAATAATGTTAGAGTGAGTTCTAATAGAACTGGATTCTTTTTGACTCACAAACAACAAGTCTACCATAACTTTTATTAGTACATTACCTCACTAACAGGAGACTCGCACACTCTGCACCAGCTTTTTCCAATGTGTGGAGACTGAAGAAGGCAAGTGGACCTCACAGATGAGGAACTGCGTTGGTGGCCGCATGTACAGCTATGATACCGACACTTGTGTCTCCAAGCCTACAGGTGTGTGGAGGTGTCAATCAGGGGTTTGTAAGTGTCCAGGTACACTGTAGCTACTTGTTAATCATTACTGTACCAGTACAGTACTGTGTGTTTGTTGACATTTAACAGACGTGCATGACAAAAGGTAATAATGTAGGGGGGAAGAAGAGGCACGTGGTGAGTCACAGGTGAATATTATATACTGTACACCACACGAGGTCATTTGTTGTATTAGTTATTATGAGATGTGGGGCGGGGTAACTTCTGTAATGTACACGATGACTGTGAGGGAAGAGTGAGAGGATATGAGGGAAGAGTGAGAGGATATGAGGGAAGAGTGAGAGGATATGAGGGAAGAGTGAGAGGATATGAGGGAAGTGAGAGGATATGAGGGAAGAGTGCGAGGATATGAGGGAAGAGTGAGAGGATATGAGGGAAGAGTGAGAGGATATGAGGGAAGAGTGAGAGGATATGAGGGAAGAGTGAGAGGATATGAGGGAAGAGTGAGAGGATCAGAAGAGGCAGGCAATTGGCATGATAAACACAGCCCAAACTGGCTAGGATTTAGGCATGGTGAGGACTCCTTTTGGTATCGTTAGGTTGTTTAATCTTCATGTGAAATAAGCTGGGGCTAATCTTCATGTGAAATAAGCTGGGGGCTAATCTTCATGTGAAATAAGCTGGGGGCTAATCTTCATGTGAAATAAGCTGGGGGCTAATCTTCATGTGAAATAAGCTGGGGGCTAATCTTCATGTGAAATAAGCTGGAACTATTCTTCAGGTGAAATGATCTAGGGGCTAATTTTCAGGTGATGTCAACAAAAATGTACAGGAAGACTTTGGATACATAATTATCAGAGTTCACTATGTTAAACGTTTTCTCTTTCAACGCTGCTAAAATGAAATACATATCAAGAAGCGTACCGAAACATAATTTACGAGAACTGTATTACCCATCGTGTCATTATTTTTCAGAGCACGAGATGTGTGGCCGAGGATACTGATAATAGATGACCAGAGATGTGTGTCCGGCACGAGATGTGTGGCCGAGGATACTGATAATAGATGACCAGAGATGTGTGTCCGGCACGAGATGTGTGGCCGAGGATACTGATAATAGATGACCAGAGATGTGTGTCCGGCACGAGATGTGTGGCCGAGGATACTGATAATAGATGACCAGAGATGTGTGTCCGGCACGAGATGTGTGGCCGGAGATACTGATAACAGATGACCAGAGATGTGTGTCCGGCTAAATGTCTAAACGACCTGTAAATTGTTGTACTTTTTGTTGTCATTAAAAGGCCACTATTTTTAGGTTGTTATTTTTATTATTGATGTTGTTACTACTATTGGCCCAGCTGTTGTTGTTATTACTTCAGTTAGTGGCATTATTCCTGCCAAAATTGCCGATCATATTTGTACAAATTATTATGCAATAAGTGAACTATATTTTAATTGTGAATTTTCGAGTTTAATGAACAGATAAGTGATGGTGAAGGAAATACATTCAAGTTATTATTGACTATTGTGGTTTTCTGAAAATAAAAATAAAGTATCATCCAAAATACTGTAATTTTAATTTATCTCATATGACTGCCTTCACATGTATCCAAGTGTACTTACACTACAGACCACTTCCAGATTATTACTACTCTTGCTAGTCAACTAATATGTTCAATTTACGAGATTTCAGTTAACGAGTTACCTAGCGTAATGACTTTCAGTTCTATTAACAAGTATAAATTTTATTAACGACAGCCTTTGTTTTGGTGAGCTGATAGACTCAGCAGCCAATAATTGGGTTCTCTGTTTACCTTGTTTCCAGTGGAGTAAGCATGGAGGAAGTTGCTCTCTTGAATATTTTTTAATTTTTACATTAACATTATTGGTCATTCTGAAATTTAGGTACTATACAGTGCAGTGTTGGTTTAAATAAAAAAAAATCAGGAATTAGTTAAATAAATTGTGAACTTAAAATTTTATTGGTGAAATTATCAAGCATGGGTCGGAAGAAATCTCGGAAGGCGCTTTTAATTCAAGTGAAACAATAAATTATTAAGAAATACAAAGAAGGCATTAGAACCAATGCACTCTGGAAAGAATATGGCCTGTAGTCATCGACTGTGTCTACAATCAGCTGTTTGCTCTACTGCTAATGTAAACAAAGTCACCGGGAATTCTACATACACTCCTCAAATTGTTAAAATATTTTATTGTTTTTATTTATTATTGTACAGAATACTGTACAGTACTGTATTTTGTTTATATTTAATGCTTTGTTAATTCTATTACCGGTATACAATACTTTGTATGTGCTTTTTTAATTCATTATAAGGGAATTCTGTGAGCTGGAACCAATTACCCAATATCCCACTGAAATAATAGATTCAGTTAATGAGAATTTCAGTTAACGAGTGACTCTGTGGAACCAATTGTGCTCGTTAATGGAGGGGCAAGACACAAAACTTGTATATTTGAGGCCATGACACATTGTGAACATTAATATTATGTACAATGAAAGACAAAAGTCATGTCGTGAAATTTGGTGAAAACATATGAGGAAGGGCTACACTTTTGGTGCACTCTGCCTTGTGATAGGGAGCTCGCATAATGTTTCACTAGTTATATTTAATCTTCGGACAAAACCGCTACAACTTTTGTCTTTGATTGTACATCATCACCACATTTTAGTATAATATTTACCCAAAATAAATGATCTAATCTAACCCAACCCAAAGTAAGCAAACCTAACCTAACCCAATCAAACGTAAATAAACCTAACCTAACCAAAACTCAGCAATCCAACCTAAGCTACCCCAAACCCAACCATACAAAACCTGACCTAACCTACACACAGTTTGGTTAGATATCGTTTGTACAGTATTCCAACAGCACATTGACCTCACTGTGATGCGCGAGTCACTCCGGACAGCCTAGCCAATGTTCACTTCTCTTCCTCCGTCACATTCTTCAGATAAATTTCTTATACGTGAAGTCAAATATTTCTCATTAAAACAACAATACCACAATTCTGAAAAAATAATGCAACCCCCGAGAACTCTCCCAGTTATCTCGTCTCCTGAGAACTCCCCCTGTTAACTTGCGTGATACCCACTTTAGTTTTGGAAATTATTCATGACTAACCCACGGCCGAAATTGATAGAAAACCATTTTAAAAATTCTGGATTTTCACTTTTTTTTTAAGTGGCCACTGTTGTAGCAAATGTGTTAAAATGGTTATTTCTAAAATATACATAATTTAACCTTTATGGGTATGAAAAACAGACCTAACCAACCTAGCCAAACAAACCAAACTTCCTTACCGAGCAGACCCACCCGGTATATTGAACAGAAAGAACTTACTATATGTTACTATGATATGGTGTAATTTGAGACTTTCTGGACGTAAGATCATGAGGGGTTTATGCAGACCCCGGCGACGGAGTGATTTATTGTGATGGCGGGAAACGTCCAGCTACGGCGTTGAGGAAGTGATTAACAAATTTTCTGAAAGCACAGGGATTCCCGCAGTGTGAACAGTCTCTTTTTAAAGGAACAATGCCGTGGTCTTTGAACAATTGAAGGGTCTCGTTGTCTTTATTCCTATATTCGCAAATTACGTCCATGTAAGACCGGCGACTACTGCACACGTCATGCTGAAAATGAAACTGCCGCGCGCGTAATTAACTACAAAACGAAATATTTGCACAGGAAATGATTACCATATCAGAACTCACTGACGAAAATAAAGTTAGAAAATAAACATACAAATAACTTGTCCGCGAGTTAGTCCTATATATTAACCATGCTTGTACAGCCTAAAAGAAAATGTACTCATAGGTTCTTACCCCTAAAACGTAATCACAAGCAGTAAAACTAGTTCATATGAGTCCACCGTGATCGTTGATGTTATTATGTATTGCTGAGCTTGACTTTTTTTTAGTCAGGAAACTACAGTATCATCACTCTTGAATAAATATTTTGAATTCAAAGTGTAAGTCCCCTCTAGGTCACATTATAAGGGGTACGAGGCTGTCTGGCGTATATGAGGAAGCACTAAATACGAACAGAAAACACAGTGAGTGGCGGAGCAACACTCATCATAACCAAAATGAGGGAACTGACCAGATTGTCCAGACGAAAAAGTACTGGATTAGTATTTGCGAATAAAGTGCTAGAATTGTATTCACGAAAAAAGTACTACTTTAATAGAATAACGAAAAAGGTACCAGATTTACTGAGAAAGTGTTAATACTTACTTCAGAATAATTGTTTTTTTGTCTTTCTAAACTGGTACAGTATTACAATGAATTCTTCGGTTATTTTTTCGGTAATTATTCGGTTCGTGACCGTCCGTTGTTTTCACTAAGAATGGCTTTAAAAATACACAGTTTTCACTAATGAAAATGAATATAAGTGAAAGTAATCGGCATACAAAACGTGTCTAAAAACACCCCCAACGGCCTACTCCTCCTCAGCAAGTGTGCTGTGCATAACCTCACTATCACCAATACCTTGTTTCAGATAAGTTCAAGGGTTCGTGGCAACACCCACGATCCAAACACTGGCATCTCATTGACTACATCATTGTCAGAGAAAGAGATCGCCGAGATGTCCTCATAACCCGTGCCATGCATGGCTCAGACCACTGTGACACTGATCATCGACTTGTCAGAGCCAAGATTCACGTGGCCCCAAAACGGTGAAGGTAACAAGCCTCCAGAAGAGGTTTTAATACTAAACGTCTGGAGGATCCAGCGGTAAAACATTCTTTCAGAGAGCAGCTCGAACATGGGCTGATAAACAACCCAACAGCAAACAACGCGAATCCCAGTGCGGAATGGGATACTCTCAACACTTATGACAAAAACCTGCAGAGAGACCCTCAGCCAGATCAAAAGATTACACCAGGACTGGTTTGATGAAAATGATCAGGCAATCAAAGAACTCATCGATGATAAAAGTGCTGCTTTTGCTGATTGGCAAAACAACCCTCAGTCTCGGACTAAAGCTGATACCTTCCACAAGAAGAAAGACGCTGCCCAGTGGGAACTTCGCAATCTAAAGAATGATTGGCTTAAAAATAAAGCATGTGAAATACAAAAAAAAAATGCAGATCAGCACAAGATGCATGAATTTTTCAATCCCATTAAAACATTTTATGGGTCAATCACTCGTGGCGCAGCCCCCTTCCGCTCATCTGATGGTAACTTCATAATTAAAGACAATGAAGACCTCTTTCAGTGCTGGAAAGAGCACTACCATTCATTGCTCAACCGAAACACTGATGTGGATGTCCTGCCTACCCAGCAGGCCCCTCAGCATCCAGAGTTGACCCACCTCAGCTATCCTCCATCCCTGGATGAGGTAGCTACTGCCATCAAACAGATGAAAAATAACAAAGCCTCGGGGCCTGATGGAATCCCAGCCGAGGTGTATAAAGCAGGAGGACCTTTGCTTACCAGCTGTCTCCACTCTCTTCTGGAGAATATATGGGAAAAGGAGGAAATCCCCCAAGCTCTTAAAGATGCCTCCATATTCAATATTTATAAGAACCGAGGGAGACTGGTCAGACTGTGGCAACTACAGTGGGATCTCGCTGCTCTCTGTAGCTGGCAAGATTATTGCCCGAATCCTCCTAAACAGACTCCTTCCTAAGGTGGAAAACTTCCTCCCAGAATCTCAATGTGGTTTTAGACCATCACGTGGCACCACTGACATGATCTTTGCTGCCCGCCAGATACAGGAAAAGTGCAGATAACAGCATCATGATCGTTACATAGCTTTCATCAACATAACCAAGGCCTTCGACTTGGTCAACAGGGAAGCCCTCTGGTGGACCCTTAGCCGTTTTGGCTGCCCACCAAAATTCATCGCCATTGTGAGGCAACTCCATGATGGTATGAACGGCAGTGTCCTGCACAATGGCATCCAGTCTGAGTTCTTCCCCAACCAACTCTCTTTTCCATTTTCTTGGCTGCCTTCCTTAATCGTGCCAGTG